GTAACTGATATGAAATTTCCTAATGAGAAAAATGAAATTCTCATCTCATCTCTATATGACTTGAAATACATTAAAATTTATCGAATATCAAGGTATCTTTTTCTTTTCTTTTCTTTAAGATATTACATATCTTTTATCTTTATGTGAACACGGTAATCTACATGTACGTGGTGCATGTGCAAATTTACTTGTTACATTAATTCCAACAACAAATCATCTTTTAACACTATCATCATTATCAAATTCTTTTATTAATCAATGTTCACTTGTATCAACTGATTCACAAGACAGTTCAAGGTTATATGTCTTAATGATAATAATGCACGTGTTATACATGTTTCATTAAATGCTTTACGAACATTATTACCTTTTTTTATTAATTAATAGGCATGCATTTACAATCATAGGAATTGAATTATTAGAAAATTCTATTCAACATACTACAAGTTCCTGTATTCTTGCTAAAGTAGATAAAAGAAATTTATGATTATAATAATTTATTTTTTGTATGTATATAAAATAGTTTGCTCTAGCTCAACTTATAGATGATATTGATTTTCGAATATTAACTTATCTTGAACAACAATTAAAACAACAGTACCCTGATATACGTGTTTGTCAAGCAATTGCTTCGACTTTTGTTAAGTATGTATTTTGTAGAGATAATAACCACGTAGCTTTTTTCGAATTTGGATAAGTCGATTTTATTACATTAAGTTAGTTATTAGCTACTTTTTCGATTTTAAGGTTTGTTGATCACAATTCATTTTTACCTTGTCGATGGATATATAAAATTCACCATTCATTACAAGCTCAAGCATCAACTGGAATACAAATTGCTTGTTATTTTTGTCTTTTATATAGGTTGGATGTTTAGAAGATATTTATGCTCTTTCAAATGTTTTAAGACCAACAACAATTCGACCATTTTTTCATAATCAAAATGATGAACTTCGTTTATTTATAATTTTTTTAACATCCCTTTATATGACATGATCTTAATAATTTAATCTTTTCAAGTAAAGAGAAAAAAAAAAGATATTTATTATGTTTTTTTTTGAATTCTTTCTTTTTATTTGAAGATTTATCAAATCTCAGCAAACGAAAAAATGTTTTGAAAGTAGCACAAATGATTCAAGTAATTCGAAAAATTGAACTATTTTATCATCATTCTTTTGGACAGAATATAGTTGATATTTCAGTTTTCAGAGAAGAAAGGAGTTCCAAAGTGTTTGATTTGAAGAATATATGTGATCATGTTTCGTCTGAATGAATTCATTTGTTTTTTGTCTTTTTAAATAGAATGATAAAGATTCATCAACAACATCAAACACAGACAAAGTTAAAAGAGTTAATCATACACAATTAGGTACTTTTGGAAGTTATTCGAATTAATACGTTCATCTTATCAAATACATAAAAGTTTATTAAATTCATCAGAAATAATCATTATTGTCTATGAAATCAGTTTTAAGTCTTATTTCTACACAAGATTTATCAAAAAATTTGGAAGAGAAACACTTAATTATTTTAAATCAATATTCAATGTACGCAAAAGGTAACTTTTTTTAAATAGTAAATATTTATTGTAAAGAAAATTTCAATTATTAATCTTCTTTATTTATTGTTTAAGCTAAAACCTTTAGGATGTTGTATTGTGTCTGAAACTTGTCTATGGATAAAACTTTAGATGGAAATCTTATAATTAAGGTTTCTGAAAGGGTCTTTCCTAGGTAAGGAAAATTTCAATATAGATAACAGAAAAACTGATTTTACGAATATCGATGATCTTAACGAGAGTAGTTTTGTTGTGAAAGTGTCAGATCTTTTGATTCGGTTCTATCTCGAAATTCGAATATTAAATCATCTAGTTTACGTGAGGGATCTGCAAGACACACTATCAATTCGAAATTTGAAAATCATTTTT